TCGTTCCCACTTCCCCATGCATCTAGTCTCTCCTGAAGCTTCCCAGGAGCTTCATAAATAAATAAAAAGCCCCTTAAATAACGGCCCCCTCGGCCTGTCCAAGAGCAGTCCAGGCCTGGCTGCTCTGCTCCTCTAGAAAGGGCCTCTTCACCCTATAAGCAGAAATATAAGCCAAAGCTCGAGCTGGTTATCAGTAATCTCCTGCCTTTTCATGGGTGCAGGGGGGATATTAAATTCTTGGAGCTTTCTGGCAATACAATAGTATGACTTGATATTGAAGAGTTTGGGGAAATGAGTTTGGGCATAGACTATGTTCTCCAGTGGTCTTGGTGCCAGAGAAAGGACCAGACATGGGGTTTCTGAGGACATTTCAACATGCCAAAGCATTCCTTTATCCTAATTCTGCAGCACTGGGGACCTAAACAACTTATTTTTCTGGTCTATGCCTAACTATGCTAGCAGGATAAGTTAAATAGAAACATTTCTCCGCCTAAGCCAGTGCTTCAGGATGTTGTTTCTGCTCTGCTGAAGATCCCCAGCTTTTGGCCACAGACCCAGCACTGAGCCCATTATCCCAGTATTTTATGTGGCCTCATGGAGTAAAATATTTGTTCAGCTTCCTTTGCCTTTTCTGACTCATCTGCAACGTTTCCAGCAGCACAGGGATGTTTCTCTGGGACATTCCCATGCAGATGGGGCTGCCAGCAGTGCTCAAAGTACTCAGCACGTCCGGGGGTTAATTCATGCTCCGGGCCCCATCTGTGGACAGAGCTGTGCTCCTCCAGCAGCTTCTTCCTCAACCAGAGCCACTGAGAGACGAGGAGGAGGAGGAGGAGGGCGAGGTTATTCTTCCTCCTTTCTACAAGGTGTTCAGTGTTTTAACACTAAAACCAGCCTGCACCGCAGCAGCACGGGAGCAGGGCCTGTGCGTTTGTATCAGAGCAACTGGCCTGCAGCAAATTAATACCTTAAAAAAAAAGAAAAAAAAAAGAAGCTTTTGAAGGAAAAAACATAGGCGATGGAATCAGATTTCTCTCCTGCCTGATCCAGTTATTATTCAGATGTTTGGAATAGTTTGCATAATGTTTAGCTCAGGTTACACAGGAAGGAGATAAGGCAGTCATAAATATGAAGCTGATTTAAGAGATAAAGAGGCATTTATGCTTTTAGAGGGCCAGACAGAGGGAAGAACATTTTTACAGTATCATATGTAAACCATTTGGAGAGCTTGGTCGCTCGTCCTTTGCAATACCATTTAACAGTGGAAATCTCAACAGAAATCCCTTGTCCAAAATGAGGCGTAAATATACTAACTAGAATTGGAGAAAACAAGCCTGTGTTATTCTGCCTATGTCATGCCTGTAGGTTCATGTAGTCTGCGTAGGATACATTTCCCAAACTCCCCCAGGCGTTAATATAGGGGCTAAAAAAGGACAAAAACCCTTTGGAGGTTGTAGCCTCCAAAGGAGCAGAGTAACCTTTAAATCCCATGTGACATCTGAGGCAAAATCTGCCAGAGTCAATGGCAAGATTCCCATGTATTTCAGCAGGCTGCAGCCTTGGGTTTCTGCACAGAAGTGACCTCTCCTCGGTGCTGGGAGCGAGTCCTGGTGCCGAACTGCGGCCTGACGAGGAGAGGCCGCCCAGACTCGAGGGGCTTTTGAGCATTTTGGTCTGGCTGCCTCAGAGGCCGTCGGAGAAGGTCAGGATGTGCCGGGCACTGCAGGTTTGTTCCGGAGCGATGGCCGTGAGATATTGGATAGGGATGATACCGCGCGGTGGGCGCTCCAGGGCGCTCGTGCCCAGCCGCCTCAGGTGCTTCTCGCAGGGCCCCGCTCGGTGTCTTTGCCCCTGGGTTGTGCAGCCGAGACCCTGGCTGGGCCAGCCCTGACTGCACGGCGAGGATCATTCCAGTGCGAGCTCGGCCAAGTTCCCAGGTCAGCAACGTTTTGCTGTTGCTGCAAAGAGCCTCCGTCATAACCCGCTGCTGCTGCTGGGAGTTAAAGGTTTCACCTTTCCCGGCAGGAATATCATCAGTTATTCCCGGCACAGAGCAGTGACTCAGCGAGCAGGGCCAGCCCTAGGGAAGCGGCTTAAAGGAAAAGGGCGACAAAGAAACCCAGGGGAGGAGGCGTGATGGCCCCGAGCCGCCAGTCAGGATTTGCATCCCGAAAAGGATTTTCCAGCATATTTGTGCTGCTGCAATTACCCCAGCAGAACTCTTCCTGTGGGCAGGCTTTTGAGTATCTGGGAAGTCTTCTGCATAGGTGGGTTTTAAATTACACGGAGGAGGAATATCTACACTGCAGCTCACCAGCAGCGAAGCACTGGCTCTACTTTATTTCTCAGTATACCCAGAAGCAGCAAGAGCCTGGAAAATGCAAAGCCCAGATAAAGTAGGTATGTGTAACATGGAAGCGCCTGGGAGCTTCCCCACTGAGAAGTGCCTCTCCACCAGGGAGAAGCATAGCAAGGAGAATGAGCGTTGCAGACCCTGGTGAGCTCTTACTGGGGCCATGTGTCAGGAATCCTGTGCCGACGTCCCTGGTGCCGGGCTCGAGGGGAGCAGCACGGGGATGGTGGAGGGGACATGTGGGAAGGCCTTGAAACCTGTCTGCAGAGCCCCTGAAAACCTGAAACCCTGAAACCTGTCTGCAGGGCCTTGAGTCTTTGTGAGGTTTCTTTGGGCAGATTTTGGTGACTTTATCACATTAGACGGCTGAGACCTGGGAACCTCCATACTCTCAGACAGTCGTGGCCCAGGGCAGGACAGGCACAAGAGCTTAGGCCCTTTGGGGAGCAGAGCCCTTGGCCCGTGTGTCCCTTTGCAGTCACCCCTTGAGGGAGTTGAGCCGGATTTGCCGCAGGCTCGGACTGGTTTCTTGCCCTGGAGTATTTTCTTCTTCTCTGCTACAAAATGGCTTGCAGGCCTGTTGAAAAGCAGCTGAAATGGAAATAACTCATGCTTAAGCTCACCCAGAAGCCATGAGCCTCCTTTAAAGGAAAAGGGACTTGGTCTTTGTCCTCACAAGAGCTGTGGGAGCCAAAGCAGGGGTTAGGACACTCCTTACAGCTCTCCCTGGTTGCCCTCCAGGGTTTTCAAAATTGTGGTCATTTGAACCTGCTCTTCTTCATTTGGTCTTTCTGTTCAAGGTAGTGTGGCTAACGCTGAAGGAAACTGGTTGACAACAAGTTAACCATGAGTCAGCAGTGTGCCCTCGTGGCCAAGAAGGCCAATGGGGTCCTGGCCTGCATCAGGAGGAGCGTTGCCAGCAGATCGAGGGAGGGGGTCCTGCCCCTCTACTCAGCTCTGGTGAGGCCGCACCTGGAGTATTGGGTGCAGGTCTGAGCTCCACAGTACAAGAGGGACATGGAGATTCTAGAGAGGGTCCACTGTAGGGTCATGAAGATGATTAAGGGACTGGAGCATCTATCATATGAGGAAAGACTAAGCGAGCTGGGCCTGTTTAGCCTGGAGAAGACTGAGAGGAGATTTGATCAACATGTACAAGTACCTGAGGGGTGATTGTAGGGAGGACGGGGCCAGGCTCTTCTCCGTGGTGGCCAGTGACAGGACAAGGGGTAACGGGTATAAGTTGAAACACAGGAAATTCCATCTCCATGTGAGGAAGAACTTCTTTCCTGTGAGGGTGACAGAGCCCTGGAACAGGCTGCCCAGAGAGGTTGTGGAGTCTCCTTCTCTGGAGATCTTCCAAACCTGCCTGGACGCCACCCTGTGCCATGTGCTCTGGGTGTCCCTGAGTGTGCAGGGAGGGTTGGACTAGATGATCTCTAGAGGCCCCTTCCAACCTTAACTATTCTGTGATTCTGTGAAATCCTTGGACTTCCATAAGCTCTTCAAAATCGTGAATTTGCCTTTCCTCATGAGGCTTTTAATTGCTGTTGTCAAAAGTTGCCATTCCCACTGCTCAAGTTCTTCGGCCCTTCTTCTCAGACTCTCCTGCCTGGGATTCTGCCTTCTCTGGTCTGATAGATGGAGAACAGCTGGGGAGAAGCTTTCTTGCTCCATACCCCAAGGCAAGGGATAAAATCTGCTCAGAGCAAAATCTGCAACGCAGGATGGAGCCAGGCACAGAGATCAGCCAGCCAACAGCAGACACGTCCTGATGCTGTTCTTTGGCACAGGCTGGGGACACGCGCAGGCAGCCGCGCCGCTCGGCAGCGAGTCCTCAGCCTGTGCCCAGCTCACGAGCGTGGCCTCGGGAGCTGACTTGACCAGGTTTGCATCCCCCCCAAATGCTGCAGCAACAGCATATAATTCACATTAGATGGTTCTGTAATTCTGTGGGAAGGTGGTGTAGAAGCATCATTCATCAAGAATAATTTGGCTGGACCAAATTTACTGAACAGTCCCCAAAAGGAAGTTTTGATTTTGCTGTTTGAGCCTGAAAACGAGAAAAAATCCAAGCAATCACTCAAGTTTCTAAATTATCCTTTAATTTTAAGCATTTTAAAGTAACAACAACCCTGCAATGAAAGCATGGATGAACCAGTTTGATAAAATAAGCAAGTGTTTGGAAAACAGCTTTGGAATTAAAATTGCTCACCCCATACAGCTAGGTGTGAGGTGAATTTTAGATCTGAAGATCTAATACATAGCTATTATTAGAAAGTCTGGAGTAAACATTGTGATTGTATTCTCTGGAGTATCTCTAAACCAAATTTCCAGGCCTAAAGAGCCTGCTCTTTTGTCAGGTGCAGAAAATTACCTTAAAGAG